AACTGACCCCAGTGTGTAGTGCTCCCCTCCCTGTGTCCATGTGTTCTCATTGTTCAATACCCACCTATGAGTGAGAACATGTGGTGTTTGATCTTCTGCTCTTGTGTCAGTTTGCTGAGAATGATGGTTGCCAGGTTCATCCATGTCCCTACAAAGGACACGAACTCATCATTTTTGATGGCTGCATAATATTCCATGGTGTATATGTGCCACATTTTCCCTATCCAGTCTATTGTCAATGGGCATTTGGGTTTGAACTGCTCTTGATAAAGAAATGGTAACACACCAGCATCTCCTCACCAATAAGCAGATTTCCTTGGTTGTTTATGCCGTGAAGGTAGCCCAGTGTTTGCTAATCCTGTTCGCTAGGCCACATGCTAGGTGGTCTGGTATCTCTTTGGAATATTCGGTACTCATCACTATTTGATATCGGGTTACCAGCCAAAATTAACATGATGAGAAAACACCCCATTTGACATCCCACTGTACATGTAAAATTTACATATAATATAGTTAATTAATAACTGATTGTGGTAATTAGCTTGTTATTAAAGCAAAGCAGATGTGTCAGCATCAATTCTATCATTCTGAGTCATTCTCCCTTTTAAGAATTGTGGGAAGATTTAAGAGCTGGATGCTAAATAAAAGATGAAAGAGGACTATGTCTATGCCAGAATCACCACCTCGTCATTTCCCACCCCTGTTATAGAAAGAGATAGCAAGGAAGGATTTTTCTTTACTGAAATATAGTGGGATTTTGTATCACATGTTATTTCTTTGATCTGAAATTTCTTTCCATCTCTTTTTTTTTTTGGCCCATTTGTTTAAAAAAATATTTATTTTTTAAGACATAGCAAATATTTCATCATATTTGGAAGTTTTTTCCAGTTTTTCTTTTGGAGGAGATCTACCTTTGTATTCAGATAGTATTCCATATAGGCCTTTATTTTGAGACTTCATATATTACATTCATTTGTGTATTTATGAGATTCTTAAGAGTAAGAACTGTGCCTTATTGCACAAGTTGGAATATGCAAGAAAGCTTCAACTGTAATGTAACGTTGGTGGAAATTTTATGGTTAGACTAAAATCTATGAGAAATACCGATTTGGTGTTAATAACAGAAAGATGTACACATGATTTTAATGGAAACAAATCTATTACATAAATCTATTTTTAGGTACCATTACCAGATCACCAATATTAAATGCAAAAATTATGCTAAAATTTTTAAAATTTATACTAGATTTTCCTATTTACATAGCACTTAGTACTTTAAAAAGTGCTTGAAAAATTTCTTGCAGGATTCTCATAATAATTGAAACTCTGAGGCTTACTCTTTATTATCAACTCATAAATATCCTAAAAATAGACATAAATTCAGTCATTTCGTGACATGCTATAATGCAGAAACTTGGTTACAAGGTTCTGAGAAGGTGAAACTATAAATTACAATACCATTTATAGCTTCAAAGCAAGATAATCTTCTCATCTTCTAATGGTAAAGCTACCATTCATTCATTTATTTACTGATTAATTGTTCTTCTATCATAGTGCAAGAACATGGCTTAGATCTATAGAGGATATGAGCATTCATAAAGTTTATCCTTTGCCATCAGGTGTTTGAGATTAAGTATGTATATGACATAGACTTACACAATGTAAATATTTAGTAGGAAAGATAAAAGACTGAAGGAATATTTTAAAAGTTCAGTGGAAAGAGAATAATACCACCTCAGGGAATTAAGGAAGATTTTAGAGAAAAGACATTTAAATAGGATCCTGCATAATATAAGCAAGGGAAAAAGAAAGAAAAGAATCTCCTGGAGTCAGTGAATCAAAGACAAAAATAGACACAGGTTGAGTTTTGGAAATAATTGGTTGGACTATAAAATATATGACAAGAGTAGAGGGAGATAGGTCTAGAAAGGTATTTGAGGCCAGACAGTGGAAGGCCTGGAATATCAAGTGAAGAAATGGATTTTATTTGGTGTTGATGGGGAGCCACTGAAGGATTTTGATTAGGAGAATGTGGCAAGTTGGGAGATGGATTCCGTAATCATTTTCACATTTGGAAAGTGGAAGAAGCACCAGTTAGAGTGATTATAGTTGTACATTTCAGAATTGCCTGAGGCCAGGATTATGAGACTAGCCCTGCCAATATGGCAAAACCCTGTCTCTACTAAAAATACAAACTTAGCCAGGCATGGCGATGTGTGCCTGTAATCCCAGCTACCCAGGAGGCCGAGGCAGGAAAATTGCTTGAAACCTAGAGGCAGAGATTGCAGTGAGCTGAGATTGCACCACTGTACTCCAGCCTGCTGGGTGACAGAGTGAGACTCTGTGTCAAAACAATAAATAAATAAAAATAAGAAAGAAAATTGCATTCCTCTTAAAATGCTTCAATAGTTCCCATTGTCTTCAGGGAAAATTAAAACTTTTCAATATGCCTGAGAAGATCCCGTGTTTTTTCATTTTTCTTTCTCCGCCTCCTCTCATTTATTGTAATATGAGAGCTCTCTCGGTCCTGATATTTTCCCCATGAGAAAAATGCTGCTTCTCTCTTCTTATCTGATTGACTTCAAGAATATGTATTAACTTTATTAGTTCAGGGAGACTTTTTCTTCTATAGAACAACAAAATCCACCAGTTATATGTCCCCATAGTACCATGAGCTTCTCCTGCTCTGATTGTTATTCCATTTCATTGTAATTAGTTGTTTAATTTTGTATCTTTCCAGTCAGACGGAGTGCTCTTTAGGGGCAGAAACAGCATCTGTCTTATTGAATCATGTGGATACATGTACCTGGGCCATGTTTCAGCACAGTACCTGGGTCATGAAGGTTTCTTTCAAATAGATGTGTGTATATACATGTATCACATACAGAAAAAAGTCCTGGAGTAGCAGCAAAGAGGGATGTGCTGTTTTATAACTGAGAATGAAGATGTTTACAGAAAATAATTAAGTTACGTGGTAGATTTTTCCTTTTATTAATTAGAATGACCATGATTTCCGGTGAGATGAGTCAAATTTCATGGTTTGTTCCAAGTCTTTGCTATTGTTAACCGTGCCGCAATAAACATGTGTGCATATGTCTTTATAACAGAATGACTTATAATCTTTTAGATATATACCCAGTAATGGGATTGCTGGGTCAAATGGTATTTCTATTTCTAGATCCTTGAGGAATCATCACACTGTCTTCCACAATGGTTGAATTAATCTACACTCCCACCAACAGCGTAAAAGCATTCCTATTTTTCCACATTCTCTCCAGCATCTGTTGTCCCCTGATATTTTAATGATCGCCATTCTAACTGGTATGAGGTGGTATCTCAATGTGGTTTTGATCTGCATTTCTCTAATGACTGGTGATGGTGAGCTTTTTTTCATATGTTTGTTGGCTGTGTAATGTCTTCTTTTGAAAAGTGTATGTTTAGATCCTTTGCCCACTTTTTGATGGGGTTGTTTTTTTCTTGTAAATTTGTTTAAGTTCTTCATAGATTCTGGGTATTACCCGTTTGTCAGATGGGTAGATTGCAAACATTTTGGTGTTCTGTTTATTTTTTAAGTATCTTTCTCCCTCTGTTTTATTTTGGATACCCTGTCCTGCCACGTCTCTAAGTTTATTATTTTTCTTTTCAGTGTCTAATCTGTCAGTCAGTGCATTTCTATGTCAAACTGTGCAGTTTCATTTCAGTTCAATTTTTTTAATCTTCCACTTATCTTTTTATTATGCTTTCCTCCACCTTCCTGAACAAATTGAGTTGTATTTATAATTGCAGTTTTAACATCCTTGTCCACTACTTCTATTATCTTAGTTATTTCTCTGATTTCCTTGTTACTGACTTGTTATGCTTCATATTTTTCTTGTTCTTTTCATGACTAGTAATGTTTAATTATATACCAGTTATGAGTTTTAGATGATAAATTTGTTTTGTTTCTTTATGTCTTAAATTTTAGATAATAAATTTAGTTTTGGGCTATGTTCCAGTACACAACTAAGCTACTTAAAAGTTTGTTTTTAAGTTTTGTTTTGTGGGTCCAGAACAGCTTTTAATTTAGGACTAATTTGTCTCAACTCCTGAGGCAAAATACGTTTGAGGGCTCTAATCCAAACACTGGCAAACTTTTTCTCTAGAAGATCAAATAATAAATATTTTATACTTTGTGGGCCAAATGGTCTTTGTTGAAATGGCTTACTTTTGCTATTGCAGCACAAAATCAGTCACAGATCATATGTAAACAAGTGAGTATGGCTGTGTTCCAACAAAATTTTACTCACCAAAAGTCAGGCAGCATGCCAGATTTGGCTTGTGGGTCATGTTTTACTGACTCTTACTTTACTTAATGTTATGGTTTAGGAGATGTTTCCATTGTAGCTGTTGAGAGCATGAACTAGTCCCATCTTTTAGTGAGCCTTGGAGATCATTCTCTCTGCTCCTTTCTAATGCTGCTTGCCTTAGCTTCAGGACTTATTTTTCATGCCTATGTTGATCAGTACTTGGTTCAAGTCTTGAGGAAACCCTCTGATGTTCACTCTCTTCTATTCAGCAATCTGCCTCATGAATTGAGAATTTCAGCTGACTTTTTTTAAATTTGAGATGGAGTCTTGCTCTGTTGCTCAGGCTGGAGTGCAGTGGAGTGATCTCGGCTCACTGCAACCTCTGCCTCCCAGGTTCAAGCTATTCTCCTGCCTCAGCTTCCCAAGTAGCTGGGACCACAGGCGTGCACTACCATGCCTGGCTAGTTTTTTTATTTTTAGTAGAGATGGGGTTTCACCATGTTGGCCAGGCTGGTCTTGAACCCCTGACCTCAGGTGATCCACCTGCCTGTTTCCCACAGTGCTGGAATTACAGGCGTGAGCCATTGCGCCCAGCCTGGACATGGTCTTCAATCATGAAGACCAGGGGAAAGCGCAAACACAGTCTCCCCACTACCACAAATTATGCCAGTTGAGTTTCTCACATTTGGGGAAATTGCAGGGGTCAGCAGATCCAGCATGCATCAATGAGCCTCGCCCTAGGAAAACCACCTTCATGACCATGGTATCTCTCCTGCCATTAAGTGTGAATTGTTAGCCTTATTAAACCCTGACCCCTGCCTCTTCAACTCAGGGAAATACCCAGGTCCTACTTGGTTGATCTGTTTTATACAGTATACTTTCTCCAGGTAGTAAGCTAGAGCAATCTTAGGGCTCCTTTACTTTGATTTCTGATTCTTAGGGATCACTGCCATTATTTACTTGTTTTCCAATGTCTGAAAACTGTTCTTTCCTGTATTTTGTCTGCTTTTTCCCTGTTATTTCAAAGTATGTTTAAATTTAGTCCCTGTTATTCCATCATGACTTGGAGCATATCACCTCTGCTTTAAAAAGTACTTTATAAGTACTGTTTATTACTTACAAAGTCTCAATTCTTATCTGTATTCCCTTTCTACCTTGATTTCATGGGAATGGATTTTTCTTTTTTGAGACGATTCTCACTCTCATCTCTCAGGCTAGAGCGCAATGGCGCCATCTCAATTCACTGCAACCTCTGTCTCCCAGGTTCAAGCAATTCTCCTGCCTCAGCCTCCAGAGTAGCTGGGATTACAGGTACCAAGCCTAGCTAATTTTTGTATTTTTGGTAGAGACAGGGTTGTACCATGTTGTCCAGGGTGGTTTCAAACTCCTGACCTCAGGTGATCTGCCTGCAGGTTTTTCTGATTTCCCTTTTGTATATTTTACTTATAAAAATAATTAGTTATGTCCATATAGAAACTGGAACTTGAGCATTATTCACTATGGTAAATATTTTTTAAAATGAAATTTCTGAATCTTTCAACATTGTTCCCTCTAAGCTTATAAAACCTTTTTATCTGTAAACGGGAATTTTTCTGCCTTGTTTTTGCCTCTTACTTTTTTTCCCACTAGCACATCATCTTGAAACTTATTATGCTAATACTACTCTCGATACCTACAATTTCTTTCTCATATTAATGGATTTTCATTAAGTGACAGGTTATATTATCCCTGATTGTATAAAGGAGTATTTTCTTGTCAAATTTTAGCTTTAGACTGAGAAGGTGGGAGGTTGAGAGGATTTTGGCACAGTTATAACTTATATTAATAATATAATTTCAAAATTAAAATACAAGTGGCAATGGTTAGAAATCTAAGAGACTAGAAGACAACCCAGGTTGGTGTCATGATGTGGGCTTCCACACAGGGATGAGAACAATTACAATGTCTGGGCAGTTAGACAACAAGACACTCTTAGCTAGATGACAACAAAGTTGTGATTGGGTGCTTGGCTTTAGTCTGATTGCATCTGTACTAGATCAAGTAAGACTCAGGTGTTTGTAATTTGTGGATCATATCCTTTTGTTGTTCACACTTCTGATGTTCTGAGCCCTCCTTTTTGCATCTCTTGTTATTTAGCTGAGATATGACACAAAAGGGCAAGGGATGGGATATGTGTTCCCATCAGGAGGAAAATAGAATCAGCTCTCCTGAGCATTTTAAACCTTTTGGGGTTACATGAGGCATTTCACCTGCTACATCAACTAAACACTTCATTCAGTCAATGTTTAGCACGTGTTTTGGCCCTCTATATCCATGGGTTTTGCATCTGAGGATTCAAACAATTTAGGATCAAAAATACAGAAAAATAAATGTATATACAATAATAAAAACAATACAATTTAAAAAAACTACAACAATGACTAGCATAACATTTACATTGTTTTAAGTATTATAGGTAGTCTATTGATTTAAAGCACAGAGGAGGATGTTTGCAGGTTATCTGTAAATACTACAACATTTTATGGAAGACACTTGAGCGTCCATGGATTTTTTTCTACCTGCGAGGGTCCTGGAGGCAGTCCTCCATGGGTACATAGAGGTAAGAGACAGTAGAATCACAATAGCTGATTCTGTCTTCCTCCTGTTGGGAAGATACATCCCATCCCTTTCTCTTTCTCTTTCTTATCCTATCTCAGCAAAATAACAAAAGAAATGCAAAAGGGAGGGTCCAGAACATCTGAAGTGTGAACAACAAAAGGGTGTGATCCACAGTTATAAATACCTGAGTCCTACTTGATCTAGTACAGATGGGAGCAGACTAAAACCAAGCGCCCAATCACAGCTTTGTTCTGTCATCCAGCTAAGAGTGTCTTGATGTTTAACTGCCCAGACATTGTAACTGCTCTTATTTCTGTGTGGAAGTCGACTTTATAAGGGACAACTGTACTTGTTATTTGCTGAATACTGAGACAAAAATGGTTATTACATGTCTTCTAACTTTATAGATGTTAGTTTCTAGTGAGAAAATTGATGTATAAGCAGGTAACTTTACTTATTATCTCCAGTATTAGACATATATGTGAGATGCTTAGGATCCCCCTTGAACAATTAGCAAGGCTTGTCGTGACTTCTTTAGTAAATGCATTATCTATGCCTCTGGGAATTTGTATCGCACATTGTGTCAATATACTCCTATCTCTGATTACCCATTATCTGCAATTTACTCATAGAAAAGGGCATGCTGCTATTTTGTTCTTAAGTAACCAATTTTATTCTTATTTTTGACATTATCGATTAAATCACTTTTACTTTTCCTTGACTCTGTATTTTAGAAGTAGCACCTTTTAAATATACTTTTAATATTTTACTTTTTGAGTCACTGAGAAAAAGTATTTCCAGTTATGCTTAGCTCTGGAGAGCTGATTGTCATTATTAGCAATTTTGCAGCATGAGAGAGATTTTTAAAAATTTAATTCCTAGTCATCTAAGGCAAATGTTGATTTAGTGGGCAAATAACACCAAGTAATTTCAAGACTGGTATCAGGCAGTTTTTTATGTTGTTAGCTTATGAACATGTGTGATCCTTCCTCTACTCCCAATTTCTTTTTCTCTTTTTGGACACATTAGATTAAGTTGATCTTCCTCCTTCTGAGGCACAGAAAGGAAAAAGCCAACTGTATCCACTTGACGGAATTCATATGAAGGTATTAGGATATTTGAGCTGAGCTTCTAATGGGGAAAAATCTCAAGATGTTTATGTTGGCAAGTATCTTTGGAAGCCCGGTACCACAGAAATTTGAGTGTAGAAGGATATGCCCAGGTTTCTTCCAGACAGGTAGTTTTAGAGTGCACATGTGAATTAGAAAATCTGAATTAATAATTACTTTGAGGTAATGAGTTTGTTCTACACGAAGAATGCATGAATTGCTGTGAGGAATCAGATTTATCATT